CTGTAGAAAATTTAAATTCCTCCTTTTAAAAAACTGGTATTATAGCCGAAACCTACAAAACTGTGCTTGAACACAAGCTTTTGACCACCCAGAAATCTGAGCCTACTGATTTAATGGACCAAGGCAGGATTAATTGCTACACCAACGTATATTTGTATTCTATTTCCATAACTATATTGGCATGGACACAAAAAGTGATTAAGAGCTGATGACAACCTGATGACAGATTTGATTTTGATAAAAAACAGAGGTTATTTGTTCAGTCTTATTATTTAGATGCCACTTCATACATCTACTGTCATGAAATCTAGTCAGTAATCTTCTTAGAAGGTTTAAATTGTTTACTTAAAAACAATGCTCCACCCAACATCAGATCCTCCAAGCACACAAATTAAATGTGTTTAGTAGTAGCTAAGCCAGAGGGTAAAAGCTTCAGATTAGTTTTCCTTGCATCTTAGTTTGTCCAAAGCATTTTCTTTAACTTTCTAAAGCACTCTCTACTAATTTAACAGGCATTTAATAACCACAAGGATCAGGAATGTGAGGCGTAAGCATATCCAAGTCTACAAAGCACACACTGTTACTTTTCCCCCTCTATACAGAATAAAATACACTTCGTCTTATGTTGCCTAGGTAATGGGTGTCAATCTATTGGTATTCTTGTGAATCTCTCTAACAATAGTTCCCATGTTCTTACTGGCACAGGACCTTGGTACTAATTTCCTGTATGTTATTGCTGCTGAAACCTCAAAATATTGTTATGCCATGACACTATGCCATTAGTAAGTTTGCATTTATAGCATGTATTAGTAAGTTTGTTCAGTAGGTGGTGGAATTAAGGAAAAATAAGTATATGTGCTCTGTGGAGGGGGTATTGAAGCAAAACTGTTATTTTACCTTGCATAGGTAATATACAGGTTTGCATTAAATTAATTTTTGATATGACAATCACATTTGACATGGTTGCTTCTGTTAAAGATATTGTAGTTTTCCAGGTACCAGGTCATATTAGCTATGAGTAAATGAGAATATATGAAGGCACTGCAATAAGCTGAAAGGCATACAACAGTTATATTTTATCTTATATATTAAATAGTGGAAATGGGCTTATTGCTATCTGTGTTATGTTCTATTTAATTTGCTTGAGATTCTGTTTCTACCACAGGGGACTGCACCCCTGTCAAAACTGGAGCAGACAGAATCTGGAGCAATTGTCCATGGTAACCAATCAGTTTCTGTTTTCAGTTCAGTTAAGCTTTGAAAATGGAAGATATAAGCCGATTGGTTACTATGGTTATTCCCTGAATGACTTCTATGTCTAGATGGGGATAAGTAGACCCTATAACTAGGCTGGATAAATCCCAGGAGCCAGGTCATCAATGATCCTTAAAAATGGCAGCTGATGCCTAACTTTTGAGGTTGTCTCTAGTTTTTGTCAATGGAGCTGGCTCCTATATAAATTCCTGCTGGATTGGACAAATCCAAATCCTAAAATCCATATTAATTTTTCCACCACTGCCCTATAAGTATATTAATAGCCATCCCTCTAAATTATAAAGTCCCATACTGATCTTGGACAGACATACCAAAGGGTAGTCTACTAGTCTAGCCATAGGTGTCAATCCTAGTCAAAACCATTATCTGTCCAAGACAATCTGGTATCATTTAAACAGCGTTACTTAACAATTCCCAAGCACTTGTGGTGCTCTCAGTAAGGGGGCTATGACATTCCAGAACTGCCCCTATGAAGTCTGATAAAATCAGGATATACAGGTATAAAGGTTATATTGGCTCTATAAAAGGTATACAGGTCCAAATCTGAATCTTGTGCAAATTTCATTCTGTTAACGGTAAAGCATTCAACACCAACGATAAGGAAAATGCTATTCCAACATCTTTCCGGAATACAATTTGTGGCCACAAAATGAGCTGTGTGATTCTGTGGGAAAGTGTCAGTTTGAATCAGCTTGAAAGATGTTAAAGTGCTTATGAGGGATTTCCAACTCTTGGTAATCTTTCTACAAAATACACGATAGGGGTAAGGTTTACCAAACCCTAAAGCTAGATGAATGGGAGTTCCAGCCTGATCACGACTGCCTTGAGGACTTGTGAATAAACCCTCAAGAATAATAAGCAGCGTATTGTTGTGCTCGGTCTTGTTCAGTCTTTTATTCTAGCTGAGATAACAGGAGAGAAGTCAATCACAAAGAACCTCTTCTGAGCCTTACAGTAGGCGCAGTGTCATGTAGATGAGACTGGAGGATACGAACAGGCTGGAACAAGATCTCACCTCTTCAGCTTGCTGCTACGTGAATGCTGACCTTTAAGAGTTTTGAGGTCTGGGTTGGCCATGGCAGTTCACATATACATATACTGTAGAAATATTTTTGGATGTTTCAGTTTACAAATCCTGCAAGCATTGTAAGGTGAGCCAGTTTATAAAGGAAGCAATTTTAATCTGTGTTGTCTTCAAATACCCAATCAAGTTCAGAGGAACCTAAAAAGATAACCTGCTACACTGGCAGGCAAAGATAAACATTAAGCTCAATATTCTACCATTCCTCCAATAGCAAACCATTACATACCAATAGATTGTAAGCTCTCATGATCAGAGCGCTCCTAATTGTATTGTAAATGTACTGCCTGCCCTTATATTGTAAAGGAACAAACTGTTGGTGCTTTATGAATCTTCTATAATGATATGCATTGGGGTGTATTTACTAAGTGAGATTAGGCTCTGCAATGTGAATTTTCAATTTGTAAAGGAATTTTCTCTTAGCTTATGAAATTAGGTGAATCTCTGCTGACTTCCATCATCTGATCACGTGCAAGCAAAATACTGTTTTGCTTAGTTTTGTACCTTCCATGTGATTGTAAAACTTTTTGCAAAGTAAATTTTCTTCTTCTTCTGGGCTATTGTATTCTGACAGTGGCGGATAAAAGGTGAACATTCTCTACTCCTTTAGTAAATGAACCCCAATACATATGATGGATCTGTATTGGATACAAGGTGAACATTCTCTACTCCTTTAGTAAATCAAACCCAATACATATGATGGGTCTGTATTGGATATAAGGTGAACATTCTCTACTCTTTTAGTAAATCAAACCCAATACATATGATGGGTCTGTATTGGATATAAGGTGAACATTCTCTACTCCTTTAGAAAATCAACCCCAATGGATAATATGATGGGTCTGTATTGTTATAAGGTGAACATTATCTAATCCTCTAGTAAATCAACCCTAATATATATGATGGGTCTGTATTGGATATAAGATGAACATTCTCTACTCCTCTAGTAAATCAACCCTAATACAGTTGATGGGTCTGTATTGGATGTAAGGTGAACGGAACATTCTCTACTCCTTTTGGTAAATCAACCCCCGAGTATATATATATATATATGAGGGTTCTGTACTGCATACAAGGTGAACATTCCCTACTCCTTTAGTAAATCAACCCCAGAGTATATGATGGTTCTGTATTGGATGAATGATGAACATTCTCTTCTCCTTTAGTAAATCAACCCCAGTGCATATAATGGTTCTGTATTGGATGAATGGTGAACATTCTCTACCCTTTTAGTAAATAATTTCCGATGCATATGATGATTCTGTATTGGATATAAGGTGAACATTCTCTACCCCTTTAGTATATCAGCACTGATGCATATGATGGGTCTGTACTGGATACAAGGTGAACATTCCCTACTCATTTTGTAAATCAACCCCAGAGTAGATGATGGTTCTGTATTGGATAAAAGGTGATCATTCTCTACTCCTTTAGTAAATGACCCCATTGTGTCAATCATTTAGGGTTTGTTTCATAAGGCAGTGCAAAGAGCAACAAGACTGTGCAAAGTGCTGCAGCTCATAGTAACGACAAGATCTATCTGTACTAGAGTCATTTGTCATTTTCTCTTTACCTTTTCCGACAAACCTGAATGACGTTCATAAGCATCCGCCAAGTAAATAACACCTTTAATCATGGAGCAAACATATAGTTAGCAGGATCTTCCAATACAAGCGTCTAGCACAGGCAACAAACCATGGTGAATTCAGAGATAACACAGCAACTAATGACTGAATCCAGGAACCTTGCCAGATTCCTCCAGACTGCTGGCACTTTGATGAGAGC